GTGAAGTTGAGAATTTATATTGAGCATTGAAAAAAGTTACCAAGTTACAGTGGTGTAGGATGACAGGCCATCCCATTAGAGGTAAATGATCCAACATATGATATCTATTCAAATCTATAATACTTCTGACTAGGAGTTTCAATTCTTTTGATGAAATCAAGCCTTACATCATACCATTGTTCCTTTCCTTAGCGTACTTGGCAGCTTGATCCGAGCTAAAGTTTGTTTCTCTATAGTTGTGTGTAATTCTAATCTGTTTAAGTTTCATTCGCACTCTGTACGAACGACTTCTAATATCCCATGGCACCTTATGGTCATTGAATTATTGTACTGCAACTTGTGAATCAGATTCTATCCATAGATTTTCCCATTTTCTCAACATTGCAATTTCCATAGCTCTTACTATAGCCTGGCTTTCGACATCATGTTTAGTGACTACGCCAAGTCCCATAACATTTACTCCGATAACATCAGCCATATTATTTCTGAAGACCATCCCCATACCACCATTTCCTGGGTTGCCAAAAGCAGAACCATCACAATTCACTTTCACCCACTCAAAATCTGGTGGTATCCATGAAACCTCTTTGATCTTATCTGCCTACTTTGGTCGATACTTCACTCTCAATAGCTCTTACTATAACCAATAGCAGTAACAAATGTAATATACTGGAAAAAAAAAATCATCTATGAACTCTATAATTTCATTCAAATGATATGCCAAACTAATTATTATTAACAAAATTAGGATCCTGGTGGATTTGAACCACCATCGTTGAGATGTATTAGAAGCTTCTCATACTCTCAAGTGCTCTACCATTTGAGCTAAAGATCCACGAGATCAAACCAGGCCATCAACATTAGAGAACAGGTTTCCTTGAGCATATTTTTACTGTTGACACACTAAATTACCCTAGCTAGTACAACTTGCAATTGTAGCAATGAAATACAAAGAAAAAAAAAATCAAATGCAATTATGTGTGTGCTTTCATATATATTTTTGTAATATTAATTAAAAAACACTAAAAATTCACAAACTTTTGAAAAAAAATTCCAATTCAACTCATAAACAATAATAAGAAACCCTGATTTACCTTTGATCAAATGGAAGAATTGTTCTTTATTTGAATCTTTTAATGAATAAAACACAAAGAGAGATTCAGAGTTTGAGATTAGGATAATGAGAAATCAGTAGAGACCATAACAAATTGAGTGAACAAGAACAAAGAACATCGAGAGTGAGAGAAAAACTTAATAGCAAGGAAAATATAAATCAACAAGCTTTTATCTTATCTGAACTAGATCAAATTGGCCAAAATTAAAGCTCAACCTTCATTAAATTACCAACAAGGTGAGACAAAAAAGAAGAAAGAAGTTCTGATATGTGTTAGGGATTAGGGAGCTAGGTGGGGGCTGGAGAAAATAAGTAGAGAGAAACGGATATAGACGGGTTAATATGTATTGTAATTGACCCATTACAAAACCCACTTTTACGTGATCTCCATTTTGATTTACCAAAGAAAAACTATCTTTCGGAAAAGTCCCTAAAGTTTGCATGCGAACGGCCGCACTGGAGCC